CTGTCCTTTCCACTTTCAGTTGGGTAAAAGATTCTGCTATTTTGAATAGGACAAAGTATTGAAATGAAATAATGTGCATTGTATTATGTGACTTTTTAAAATCTTAAAATCATCAAACGTAATTAATCTACCTTCAGTTTGGGGCCGTACAGAACAGCTTATCGTGGAGGCACTGCTCTGTGGGTAACCCTGGCACCCTTGGCAGGATTCTCCCATAGGCAGGAGAAGGTCCATAGTGCTTGCAGGTAGCTGTTGTGACCCTCACTGTGTGCCAGTCTGTCTTGCTAAGGTGAGCCCTTTAGCATGCCTGTAAAGCTCCATGCTGCTGAGAAAGACAAGTCCCTTCCAGTGGCTTAAATCTACTTTAAACTTGGTAGTGTGGCAGTAAAAGTGAGGGAGCACTGTTGGTCAGTAATGGTGACACAAAGGACGTGCTTGGTTCCACTGTGAGCGATGGTTACATTCCCCTTCCCTTCACACCCCTGTGTGATGGCTGATTCTGCTGAGGTAGCTAGTACAAAATGATTTAATTTTGTTTCTTATTTCTTTGTTATTTTTTCTGCTGATTTAATAAGCTGAAATGGGATTACTAACGGACAAGGCTCTCCCCCGCAAGAATTCTCTGTTCCAACATTAGTTTACAGAAGAATCTGCTAGCAAAACTTCAGCTCTGGTCCATGGGGGCACAAGGAACTGAGATCAGATGATGGCCCTTGTGATCCTTAAGTGACCATAAAAAAATCAACATCCTGAATTCCCAAGGCTAACTTGCAAATGGACACATTTGAACTGCACATTAGCAAGCTAATGCTCATTTAACATCTTTTTCTTCCGTTCATTGTGACCTCTCCTCCAAAGGAGGAGAAATGCTGCAGGTAGAAAAGGGAATTCACAGAAATCATAGAAAGTCACACTATGTTTGGTTGCATTTTTTTTTTCTGTCACAGGTCTCAAGCCTGAAACCAAACATAACATTAAATAGATACATACAGATCAGGGTAAACCACCTTTGCCTTTCCCTGGTGTTGCTGCTTTGTGAGACGTGCTGGGGTATTTGTATCAAGGAGAAAAGCTGGGTTTATGCTGGCAGAGAAGAAAGGGTTTGGCCCAGCTCCAAAGTTCACAACTTTTTTGTACGTACATGCTACAATTTTAGGGAACTGTCCCAGAATCAACACTCGCCTGGGAAATGCTTTCCCATCCCACCCTAACCTTCCACTCACTTTCCCTAACAGTTGAATTTGCAACGTCGAAGCAATAAAAGGCCAACTGACAGTAAGTGGGAAATTGTCCTTGAATTCTTATATTTTATAACAGAAGTTGTATTGCATGCACAAGAGCCCACGAGGGCAGTGCCTGGGCCAATTCAAGGGGTGTCTGTGGGTTGTCACGGGGTTAGGAGGAACACTGTGTATAGAAATACAGCAATTGGTTTCTTCTCTGTGTGTGTGATGACCCCTGTGAACATAAATTTCTGAATACACTGTAATATTTTAAAAGATTCGTGTTTTTTCTGCATTTTATAGACAAAACATGTAGTAATGTTTTCATACAGAAACCAAGAAAATACAATTAAGGGTTGTTATTTGTCTGTGCGGCCACTTCAGCCTTCAAAGGACTATGTTCTTGTGCTGGAAAAAAAATGTATGAGATGGTGCGATTTTTTTGAGTACTGGTCCCTGGGTTTAGTTAAAGGGGTTCAAATTGGGGCTGTTTCTTATGTGTTTGGATAACAGGCAGAGAGGACACAAAAATCAAGATTATGATGGAAATTTCATGAAAAAGAGGCTGGCTGCTCCCTCTCTCCCAAGAGGGCTGCGAGAACGTCAGTGTGAGGTCTGGGATTTTTTCTTTTCCTTTAAGAAAATATTTACTGGTTCTTTTCTACATTCCTTACACAGTCTAAACAACATTGAAGCCAAGGGAGCTGGGTTTGGATTATGAACTTTTTCAGCTTTTTTAGAGTTTAGCTGTGAAATTGCTGATAAAACCAGCTTTTTTCTTTTTTTTTTTTTTAAGCTGTTCACTTAGGGTACATGTAAACCAAGATTGGTTTCTCATCATCTTTAAAATTGCTCATGCTAAAATTTTTCAACACTCAACGATATCTGGATCCATTGGGATTGTGGACACGTACCCTCTTTCTCTTTCCAAAAAAAACTTTGTGTTAGGTGAAAGATGTTACTGCCCTCAGCCCCAGGTGTTTGCTCCTTGTCACTAGCTCCCCAGCCAGATACGGTCCCTTCACTAATCTGCCAGCCCAACCAGGTTAGCAACAGCATGCTGCTCCTCGATGGTCCGCCTGTTTGCTTTGCTTGAAGATGCTCTGGGGTGCTTGCCCTGGCACTGGGCAGGGAATGGGACACTTGTAGTAGAGGCTGGGGACAAGAAGCCGGTTCGCAGCCACTAACCTTTTCCCCTGGCACAGCTGTTTGCAGAGCGCCCATCTGCTCAGGCTTGTCGGAAAAACTGGCTGGATCAATGTAAATCACTTAAATCTGGACCCGTGGTCTTGTTACTAGCAAGGTGCCACTCCTTTAAATGCCATGATTAATAGCCGATGTCTGTGGGGATATTTTGCCCATCAGTGGCTACAGCAAATTGATTTTGGGAGAAATCAGAAAATTGAAAGGAGAGTTGGGGAAATGTTGTGTTTCTGCTAACGCAGCCACAGACTTAAGTGATTTGCAAGTGCTCAGACAACCGTTTTTTAGCATTTGTTAATGCCTTCTGGCATTGCAACGTTCCCAGCTCATGCCGGTTGTTCTGAATAGCATTTGGCAAATGGATGTCCTGAATGCTTTGTGTCCCCTGCAGCGGCAAGGGGTACAACAGGGTCACGCACGTGTGGGAGTGTGCAAGAGGATGAGGCAGCTCTTGGGGAGGAAGGCTGGGAGATGGGTTACAAGGGAAGGGACTGCACAGAGCCCCCAGCCTGGCTGGGTGAATTAGGCTGCCTTGGGAAACCCTGACCTGCACTAGGAAAGCAGGGGCCACATGGGGCTGTCCAGGCAATCACTCTGGTTACTGCTTCATTGGGTTGTTACTTTTCCAGCCTGGGGCAAAGATATGCCACAATGTCCCAAGCACGTTTTGATTTTGCCTAGCTTGAAATGCTGCTGGGATTTAACCCCCATTATACATGCTTTCTGTTATAGCTATAGATTGACCCTGTGTTTTCAGCATTCACCTTGAATTTCAGAGGTTGGCTGGTAAAGTGATGTCAGCAAACCCACTAGTGAAGATTTATACCAGACCTCTGTTTTCCTTTGATAATGGATTAAAAAAGATCCCTGAATGGAACAAAGTGTATTGACAAAATTACCCCCCCCCCCCAAAATTACATTTTTATTACTTACTTTTTTTTTTTTTTAATAGCATAACTGTGGGGGAAGAAAGAAGAATTATACCCTATATGGCATAGCAATGTCAGCAGAAATCCTGCAATAAAAAGAAAATAAATCCATATGCTTTATTTTAGAGGTCAAGAACAGTCTAAAGTTACTTTTCTTTTAAGTTGATGGATGCTGCCTAAAGGTTAGGCTGCTTTTTGTCTGCAGCAGACCCAGAGCACCCACGCAGACACACCAAGCTAGACCTCATGGCTCACGTTACATGTATTAGCTCAGCCATGGTAACCTGATTGTGTGTCTAAAGATTCAGGCTGAGGGTTGAGGAGAGCTTAGGTGAGGGTGGCTGATGAAGGTAGTACTGCTACTCCTACAGCCAGCTGTTCATCAGTCAAATCTTGGGCTGCCTCAGCTCACAGACATAGTTTTAAGGCAAAATGGGACTGGTGATCCTTGTCTGAAAACACAGTTCTGTGAGCTGTGGCAGTTCAGGTGCAGCCTGACGACCAGCTCAGGTACCCAGGGGTAAAGGAGAGAGGAGGTGGACAGGAGGAAGCACACAAGCTGAATCCTCCCGCCCATCCCAGCCTGGTGCTGTTCAGGAAATGGATTTGCTGGTTCTACCACTTCAAGGACGCTTTTGTTTTCACAACTGCCACGGCTACACTGGCAGATCATTAGATGTGTACACAAGATCGATGATATTTGAGTATGGTGCTTGTAAGTAAATGAGTATGGTGTAAGGTAAAGTCAATTCTCATGTGTTTCATTGGGTCTGACCCTCCTAACCTGCCATGTGTCACATTTCAGAATGGCTGAGTGCTTAATGTCGCACTAAAATACAGTGGGTGGGCATGTTGACTGGAAGGGTATCTTGGGCTAGAGCTAGTAAAACTACCTATAGATATAGCTGTTAGCAATACGGAAGTCTGATTGTCTCTTCAGAAGTGGTCCTTGTTTCTTTAGCTAGGTAAACTGATAACTCTGGTTTCCATCCGTCCAGAGCTTACATGTTTGATCCAAATCTTTTTTCTTTAGTCTGGCAAAACTTGCTGGTGATAAGCAATGTTAACAGAGCGAAGTTTCTGGTTTCTCTTACTGTGTCAGCAGCAAATAACCTTCAACAGAACATCTTCTGCTACCATTTATTTCCGGAGATGACTTTCATGGATAGTGGTGGTGTTTGTTGAGATCACTTTGCTTGCAAAGAATTTTCCAAGGCTGAGATGAAGGATAAATCTGCTTATTTTGTTTAGTCTGAATTGACCTTCTGCAATATAATGAAAATAAAAGTATGTCTGATTTTTTTATTCTTTATGAGTTATCAGGTCTTGTTATAATGTATGGAAAAGTGGAGTTTCCTTAAATGTCACCATTTTATCAGGACTAACAGTAGCAGGAATATAACTATTTACTACTGCATTTTGCTGCCTGGAAAAATTAAGGTATACCCTATTTAGGATTTGTCCAAACCCAATAAGGTATACCTTATAATATTTGTCCAAAACCACTCAATGAGTTAACTAGAAAGCTAAACTTGGAACAAGGTTTCTTGAATGGTCATCCTATTTGATCTAAACTGGGCTGCTTTGCTGCTGCTTGTGATTTGAACTTGCCTGCTTCCAATACATTCCCTCTTTCTTATTTTAGCAATTCATCAAAATGAAGAAAACAGCAGTCAAGAAATAAGAGGACTAGAAGAGCTCAAGGATACCTCTGATGCTCAGGTAAATGTGCAAGATTAATGGTGTCTCAGGGACTTTTTCAGATCTACAAGTTGAAGGATCTTCTTTCAATAGCTCTGGGAAATGGATTTTCCTCCGTGTTCTGCGCAGGGAGCCCGTAGGAAGGAGAAAGTCTGCTGGATCTTGTCTTATGTGACTATTTAGAATAAGATTGATGATTATCCTGGGAATTAATCCCATGATGTTGAAATCAGACAGCATTCTTAAACTATCTCTCTGTTCTTTTTAGATAATACACATAGCATATACCAGATGTGAAAATAAAATAAGATGTGTTTTAGGAGGCAAGGGCATATGACATTTTGATTGAATTTTAATCACTGCAAGTAGACATGCAATGAAATGAGGATACTTATTAGTCACTCGGGTGTAAGCAACAACCTTTTCCTCTCCTTCCCCAACTGCCCTCGTTTACAACTAAAGCATACTTCTAGATATTGCTCAGAAGAAACTTAACTGCATTTTAGAGTATTTTATTGTGGAATTGCATACCCTTTTTAATTCTGTGAAACTTTTTTGATTAATCTCCAGTTCATTCAATCATTCAGTTCATGCATTCAAACTGTGCAAGTGTAACTGTATTGCTACTTGTATTGGTACTGATTATTGCTTTTAATTTAAAATCGATTTCTCCCAGTCTTGACTGTTTTTTTTTCTTCTATTCCTCTTGAAAATCTCATGTTTCCCACCAGTTGCCACCTTTTCTCCTTCCTACATATGCAACTTGCAGTTCCTGTCTCTGATTTATCTCCTAACACCTTGCTTGCTAAAAAGCTGTGTGTGAGAAAGACAGGATTTGCACTGATGTCTGTGAGCAAGCCTAGCTTCTGGAGTACAAGCCACGTAGCCAAGTTACCTGTATCTTTCTAATGGCAGAGGCTGTCTCGACCACAGTGAGCCCAGGAGGGGCTGGAGGCAGCTCCGGTA